CTGTAGCACAGGATTGAGTGTATAAGATAATCGGAATTTGGTGGGAAAATTTCATTTTGACTAAGCCGTTACTGGTTTTGTTAGGCAGTCGACGATATATTTGTTAAGAAGGTGAAGTCCTGGATCGACGCAAATATTTTTTGGATTATGCTGCCCGATAATCACTTATGTTGTCCCATCCATGTACTTCTTTCTAATCATAACAAAATTTTTATTTTTGATGAATATTTCTTTAGACAGATCAGTCAGTGCATCCAGCATGCTCAGAAACTTCCAAGTCTACTTTGAGTATTCGTAGTTAATGTGAGGATTGTCTGCTTGCAACAGCAACTACTGGAGTTTTGGAGTATTCCGCTATCCACGCAAGGTTTCACTTATGAATATGGCAGAGTGGTCATCGTACTTTTATCAACTCTCTACAGAAGAACCATGCCGTACGACTAATGTAGTATTGAACTCTTTCGCGAAAGTAAGCCTTTTGGTAATTCCACCTGCGCCCAGTTCCCCGCGAAAGATTTGCGACCTCCCAGCTGGTACAAATGCCGCTGGTCCTCACTGCCTCTGCTGCCTTGTCGACCATCAATGTCCGGATTAATCTCCCAGTCTCTCCGATATATCTGTTATGAACACAACTGCAACAGGCACGGTAACTTACTTCCGACCTTTCTTGCCGGCGCAGTAGATCACTTATCCTAATTGCGTGGCTCCTCTGTGCAACGCCAACCCCAAGTGGAATGAAAAGGCTGCGGACCGTGACCAAGTTTTTTTTTACACACTAGAACACCAGTCAAGACGGGAGACGGGGCAGGGCTTACCTATACTTTTATCAAGCCATCGGTGGCCTCTAAGACATTAAGTGACACGTTCGTTTTAAACATTTCGCCGAAATTTGAAGTTGACAGCCTGGAGTGTGCGTGAGTCAGAATAAATAATCTGAACTGTTAAAAAATCCAAAAAATCTGAAAATTTAAAGTTTGAAATAATCTGTTTTACAATGCGATTATGTTTTATGTAGGCCGTGCGAGTCACAATCCGTCTGACGCAAAATATTAACTTGCGCGTAACCTACCGCGGTCTCTCTTGCTTTCCGGCGGCTCTGCCTACACGACCGTGTTTGCGTAGAAATAAAACGACAGTTTGGATCCTCCGTTCGTGGATAAATGCCACATTAAGAGGTATTCACTTACCTGCTTATCGGTGTTCGATCCGGTCGCCGCCACAGAGGGTCGAGACGGCCTCTCGGGTTCAGTCATTCATATCATGAGAAGCGTGCAGATGTGCAGTATGGGAAAGCGCACCAGTCATAGTGTCAATAACTGTTCCTCCCCCACACACAGCCGATTGTCTAAGCCTGTCAACCAGCTGGCTATGTGAAGGCGTGCAGTTGCTGACAGAAATAAAAATCGTCTAATGCAGGTAAGAGGAAGTAGACACGATCTCTGCGATAACAATTTCCTTGCTGGATTTTCCGGATCTATGCTCTACCCTGCTATCAGAGAGTGCATCAGATACCGAATTATCATCACAACTGTTGAATGCTTCTTTACGAGTACTTAATTATTTAGCACATCGACACCGGCACGTGTAGCGGTGTCGAAATTCGGGGCTCGGTATGTGGACGATACTTTCGTTGTCATCGAACGAGGTCAGGTGCTAGCATTCAAAGAACGTCTCAACAGCGTCTTCCCGGACATACAATTTACGATGGAGGAGAAAAAAATGACCAGCTGGCATTCCTTGATGTCCTCGTCTTCCACAAAGATTGTGGTGGCCTAAAGACCAAAGTGTTCAGAAAAGCGACGAACACGACGCGAAGACTGAACTTCAACAGTAACCATCCAATCAGCCATAAACGCAGTGGCGTAAGTAAGCTATATCGGCGTCTAGAGTAGCACTGCACTGAACCGGAAGAAAAGCTTGCCGAAATCAAATATCTTCGACGGATTTTCAGAGAAAATGGTTACCCGCCCAACTTCGTCACCCGGTGTATGCGCGAACGAGACGAACGACAAAACCGTGCCGACCCCGAATTCTGGCGAGCGATGCCGTACATCAAGAACGTCTCCGAGGCCGTTAGCCGCCTTCTTGCACCTCTTGGGGTTGGAGTTGCACACAGACCGGAGGCCACCATGAGGCGTCAGGTGATGAGACCAAAAGACCCACTGCCATGGCATGAAACATCTGGAGTCGTTTACCGGATCTGGTGCAGTTGCGGACAAAGCAACTACGTCGGAGAAACTGGAAGACTGCTCCGAAAGCGAATTGCCGAACACGCGGCAGCGGTACGGAGGAATGACGCCAGCTCTCAGGTCGCGGCCCATTCGAGGAGACCCAGCCACACATTCAAGTTAGATGAGGCCGAAATTCTCGCGAGACGGGATAATCGTGTGAGCCGCGAGTTGCTTGAGTCATTGTTCACGGGACCTCAATCTATCAACAAGTGGAACGACATGCCCACTCCATACTCCGTGCTGAGGTATAGGCTGACCAAGGTAATTGACCACTCGGGGCGCGCGCAAGTCGGTGAGCCAGGTGGCCGAGCTATCATCACGCCAGCATCCAACAAGGGTGATGACATTTCGGTAATTAACACTTTGCATGACGGTCAGCAAGCAATTAGCGCACCAGCGGGCAACGATCCTTCATGAAGGGGAGCGCGGTTAATTGCTATAGGTATGCGGTAACATAGCGACTACATCCTATAAATACTGCAACGTCCTGTGCAGGAGTCACCATTTGCTGCTACTGTCTCTGATGATGGATTCAATTGAGAATCCGAAACGTCTGGCGAATAAAGGCCTTGGTCCAGCAATAGTTTCTCCTTCTGATCAGCTCGTCTAAGTGCTGACACGCTGCCTCAACATCAGCTATAGAGGCTAAGAGCCCTGCAATAGGTAATCGGTGAAACATGACTGCAGCTACTCTATGGACAACTGTCGTCGAGGAAGGGGGAGCTGATAGTTTTGATAGTTAAGCAGTAGCTTGGAGATTTCATCGTGTAGATAAGGTAGTTAGTTTCGCTTGGAATACGCGTATTTGATGCCATCTCTGATGATGTTTTGTGACACGAATGCGAAACTTTAGGCGACCACAGTTCTGTAATAGTCAGGTTACGTTACCTGGTGGTCGGAGCTGCTGACCAAATCATGCACTGAGTTCCAAAAAGGGTCATGCTTGCCACTAGCATGAAAGATGCATGTTTTTGCGCAGATTATGGGGGACGTAGGGTGTTTAATTTGTGGTTTGAGGTATACGAGGAGGCGAGGCATGGTTGTGGGATTTAAAACAGACCATTTCACTTTCAATTTTTATGGACATATGGCCAGCTTGGCCCATGCAATGGGAATAGGTACGTCGGTGCTATGGATGTGCGTTGCGGTTCCTAGGGTTTGTTTGCTAGACTCTGTGGGATGAGTTAACAATGACCAAGGCAATGTTTGCCATGAAAAAGGTGGTTGGCATTAGGACAAGCCGTAGCCGTACTTTCATTGGCGGTGACAGTTATCAGTAAAATGTCGGGGTATGCTTAACGATTGTGTGGTGGTGGTCATCGTAGTTTACTTCATGAGAATTGTGCTTGAGGGGGTGTTTAAAGAGGCCTTTTCAATTCTCTTACAAACAACTCCCGGGCATAACCAAAAGTCTTGTACACCGTAGGCCAACCGTATCTATTAAATAGTTAATCAACGAAACCTGCAGATTCGAATAAATAGATGGGACATTTTAATTACTTGTTGAGTTTTATCCGTCAAACAAGAATGATGCGTGGACTGCTAAGCAGCCTTTGGCTCATAATACAATACAGCTCCAAGATCGTCAATAAGCAAGGTTAATTGTCCTTTCAGTTGTCCGATAAGTTAATTTGTTTGTATGCAATCGTCAATATAATCGAAAGCTCTGTTTTTTATGGGTGTGCTGACAATCAAATTCAGGCATATTTGGGGCAATCACACTATCTGCCTTATGATGCCAACATAGCCATTGTGGCCAGTTTGTTTTTTGTCTGGAATGCTTAGTTGTTTCTCAGCGCATATAAGATATTCAATTCTAACAGAAGTCGCTCGTCATTATATTTTAGGCGACCTTCCATATGTATAGACAATGAAATATGAATTGGCTTGTCCTAGCTGCGGCTACACGTTCTTGATTTTTCTCATCACCAGAAAATAAATGCGGAACATGTTGTCCTTTATGTCTCCGAAATAAGTCATTTTTGAAAAATAAATAGATTCGGCACTGATGAAAGTTGAAAGTTAATTCGGCCTAACTCATTTTTGTATTTTGCGTACAGCAAACTGTCCTAGTTGCACCAGTGATAACATTGACGACCATATTTGTATCTGGTGCCCATTCCACAACTATCTGTACATTTCCGAGCACTATGGTATGCCTTATCTGTGATTTCATTATGGGTCTACGCAAACAGTTGCTTACTTTATAATGGACTGAGATATTTTCCTCTGAGCAAATGCACTGCTCATTGTATTAAGTGGGATATTTATTCAATATTAAAAGGGGAAATAAAAACAAAAAATCTTAACGACTGTCAAGCCCGATTGAATACGAACAAACGAGTTAGGTTAATAGATAACGCGCACTGCCGAGTGGCCGGCTAGATCACGGCCTTTATGGAACATGTTATTCTGAATTAAATGTGAAAAACAAAACAGGATGTCCGTTTGAATTAAACTATTATCAGTTAAAAACTGTACAGAGACCATTTAAATGCAGTAACAGCCATGAAATAACGAAATATTACGCATTTTTCAAATGCCCAAAATCTTTCAGAAGGACCAAATAAACTGTAGTCACACCATATGCTCCATTTACAACTACTTTTCTAACTGTCCCTATTATATTCTTTTTGTAAACCAGCATTCGTTATTTGAGTTTTGCAGACACCCGGGCTGTAGGAGTGTCCGGTTGTGTGTCAGATTGAAGGTCGTAGTAAGTCACTCACTTGCTGATGTTGGCTGCGCTCGACGTCTCCCAGCTGGCACCCGCCTGTCACCTTTCGGTCCTGGCAGCTGCACTATGCCTAGCAGCCACACCCCGGTAAACGCCTCGACCTGCGCGCTAAAAGAGGTGAGAGTAGCCGTTTGTTCCTTACACGGCTACTTTGCTCCCCACCCGTCTTCCGTTCACTCATTCCACCTTTTACATATCGCTCCTGCGTTCTATTATACTCCCAACTCTCACTTCTTCCCTCCCCTCTTCGTCTTTTCCTCCTCCATCTTGTCCTTCCTCACCTTCCCCTGCTGCTTCTTCTCATTCCCCTCCTCCGCCTCCATTCACATCCTACTGATTTTCTCCTCCTCGCTCCGTTTCCTCTACAATATACCTCCTCTTTTCCGCTTCCCTCTAACACTCCAACAACCGACAGGGCAACGGGCTCGTGGCCCGGTGAGTAGAGGTGTTGACTTCTAAACCAACAGGTCGCGAGTTCGAGGCTCGGGTGTTCCACACATCGGGCTTGGGTATGGCTGGCTGACAACGGCTAATAAGCCAGAAATGGCCATTCCAGTTTCCCTTGTCTTTGTCGGTAATGCTATTCTGCTTACTCTTTTTCTTCCCCCTAACACTCTACTCTTACCATTTTTCTCCCCTTTCCTGCCTTCCCTCTCTATCCCCGTATCCCTCCTTTTCTTCTGCGTTCGGAAATTCGAGCGGCGAGGGGGATATATAAACATGCAGAAAGCCAGGTCATTGGTCGTTCTCCCATTAAACGATATGACCCATACTGGAGGGCGGTTTCTCTTTTTGTGCGGCAAAATGGCCGTATTTGAGGGGGGGGCACTGCATTCCTCACGAGGGAAAAATCAGTTAGAAGTTAGTTCTACATCTAGGAGCAGGCCGCAGCTAGCGGTCTGCTATACACGCGGTTGAGACAATCTAGACAGCAAAACTATCCTTTTTTTAGTCCTCTTTATCTGCACCATCCCAGAAGCCGCTAAAGTGAGACCGTTCACTCTAGCAGCTTGGAATGTTCGCTCTTTCTCAAAAGCCACCTGTTGGATCAAAGAATGGCGCTAGTCACTTGGATACTGGCTCTCTATAAGGTGACATCGCCAGGCACGGAGATGTCCGGTTCTCCGAACAAGGCCAGCTGGAGGGGAGGGGTTTGGGTGGGTTCCGGTTACACCTTCTTCTGGAGCGGTCGTCCAAATGCAGAACGACTTAACGTGGACGTCTAGAGTGACATCGTTACACGACTGTGCAAGGCATGAACGACCGTCTAATGAGCCTCTGCCTGCCCTTTCAGGGGTCACATTCGTCACCAACATCAGCACCTACGCTCCCCGATGACCAGCCCTGACGTTGCAGGGAACAAATTGTACGAGAACTTGCACGCTCTTCTGACGTCTATGCGAAGGCAGATAAGATTGTTCTCCTAGGCGACTTCCCCGTCGAAAAGGAAGGTGAGGTCCGACACAACGGGGACACTCCGAAGAATTCACTGAAGCGCCTACAGACTAACTCTGTAAATTTGGATTATCTTAACCTGAAGCAACCGGCCTGCCAAAGGACAGTGAAGAGTGGCGCAGGAATCTACGAAACAAACTGCATAACCGCCGCCATAGCCAAATGTGAAGTTAACAACGCTCAACCCTCCCTGACCTGCCCATGATGTCAATGGACGTTTAGGGAACCACTCTGTCTCACTGGACATCCTAGAACCAAATATCTCTCCATATTCGCTCCCACTCTGACAATCAGCCCAAAGCGCTCCTGATCTCCCATTACCGTTCTCTGACGCCCAAACAGCTGTCCCGACAGCCCTTACTCCAAAACCACCGCATTCAACCCGGATGCACGGACTTACATTAACCTCACCACCGCCAACATCAACTATATGGAGCCCATCCGTACCTGTCCTCATTGTGATCGCACATTCACCACCATCCAGCCTGGTCGTTCACCCTAGGTTCCGTCGAACAGAGACTGGTGAATCAGCGTCTGAAGCGCCGCACCTACCTAAACTGCTGTCACTGTCCCCGAGTATTCAGCCACCGAGTGGGCTCACTAGGTCACATACGCATTCACTAAAACCTGAGATAGACAACCCCTCGGTACACCATACCATCACACCTTCCACACCAACATCTGCCTCATACAATAACATCATCCATCGCTACAAAGCAAAAGGGCTCAAGTAATACCTCGCACGCGAGTGGTAATTATGTCCCTTGGCTCCTTGCGGCCCCTCTACTGGATGTGGGATTCGACTCTTTCATTACCCCAGTGGGCCATGTGCGGCTACTTGGGAGGCTGCTGATTGACACTTGAGCTCAGTTTACGCAACATGCGCGGCATTTTGTGTCTGTGTGAAAAGGGAGCCTGGTAGGCTGTGAGCCAGGCTGTCACGGCTCCTTTGCGTTGTGACCTGTAGCGCTCTTACATGGGTTCGACTTCTCATTCAACTATTGATTAGTTACCCAGTCGTTGGAGGATGATGACCATGACAAATTCAGGCCTGCGTCCCCCCCCCCTTGTTCGCCTCAAGGATTGAAAGCGTCTATCCTGCTTGGACCAGCAGAATATAACCCTCGCAGTCTGTTGTGCACTGGCAGTTTTCCAATATTTGCTTCAATGGCGGTAGATGTGCTTGTGCTTCTCCGTCTTCACAAGAGAAGCAGACTTTGCCCCCATCTAATTCTGAGAACATGAAAGATCCCATTATCGAAAATATTGTGCTTCGAGAAGAAGCGATTTCGGAAGAACTGAAAAGCTTGAAGGAAGTTAAATCTCCCGGTCCGGACGAGATCCCAGCAAAGCTGCTCTTTGAGCTTGCCCAACAGCTGGCCAAGCCACTATCCTTTCTGTGCCAGAAATCTTTTGATGTTGGAATTCTTCCCACAGACTAGAAGACGGCCCACATTACACCCCTTTACAAAAGCGGTAGTCGTGCTCAGGCGATAAACTACAGACCCGTCAGTCGGACATCAATCTGCTGCAAAGTGATGGAGAAAACCATCGAAAAGGAGTTAATGGCTTACTTGGAAACCCACAACCTCTTGTCCAATGCACAAGATGGTTTCCGTAGGGGAAGATCATGTGTTATGAACTTGCTATACACAATGCAAAGTTGGACACGAGCACTGGACGCAAAACACACCGTGCATGTTGCCTATATTGATTTTCGGAAGGCGTTTGACAGTGTCCCGCACCAGCGTCTCCTACACAAGTTGAGAATTATGGGCATCGGTGGCAAACTTCTCAAATGGATCGAAAATGTCCTTGTCGGCCGCTCCCAAATTGTCTGCGTAGAACAACAGCAATCAAGGTGCACATTCATAGAGAGTGGGGTCCCACAAGGCTCGGTGGTTGGACCAACCCTCTTTCTTTTGTTCATCAATGATTGTGCAGATAAGTTGGACTGTGATTGTGCCATGTTTGCGGACGACAAAAGAATCTGGAAAGTCATCCAGAATGCTGCCGATGAGACCAACTTCCAAGAAAATCTTTGTCGATTGGACGAGTAGGTCCCGCAGATGGCTCTTGTCCTTCAATTTGAACAAATGCACCATTTTGCGCCTCGGAAATCAGAGCCCTAGTACGCGGCAATACTATCTGAACGGAATGCCACTCCGAGAAGCAGAAACTCAGAAAGATCTCGGAGTTTGGGTTGCAGGCAGCCTAAAACCTTCTACACAATGCTGTAAGGCGGCCAAGGCCGCAACCTCAATGCTATATGCCATCAAGCGGGCATTCGTAGTTTTCGATGAAGACTGCTTCACCAAAGTCCTCGGCACGTTTATAAGGCCCCTTCTCGAATATGGAATTCAGGCCTGGAGACCGTGGATGCATCAGGATTACGATCTGCTCGAAAGGGTGCAGAGACGAGCAACAAAATTAATAAAAGGTCAAATTGCACTGCCATACGAGATCCGCTTAACTAACCTTAATCTCTATCCTCTGAGTTATAGGCAGTTGCGCGGAGACATGATACAAACTTTCCGTATCGTGCGCGGCTTGGATTGTGCCCTTCGGCGCGATGAATTTTTCCAAGTCGCCACTACAACTCACCTCCGGGGACATCCCTTCAAGCTACGTGTGCCACAGGATAGACTGAATGTGAGAAAATATTTCTTCTTCAACCGTGTTGTGGAGCCGTGGAATAACCTGCCCGAGACGGTTGTTATGTCTCAATCTGTGGAGACATTTAAATGTCGCCTTGAGAGATATATGCTGCAGCAACAAGCGGACTATGTGACGTTTTAGCCATGTGACAAGTGACATATGTGAATCAATGTATGCATTCACTTAATGCTGTAATTTTTTCACATTTTTGCTTGTTTATCGATTTTTGTATGTACAAATAGGGAGTTCAAAGGCGTAAGCCTATTTCCCTCAAATACACTGACTGACTGAGGTCCTGGTAAAGTGTTTGTTGTGCGCTGACAGGTGCGGGGTAGGGCTAAGTGCCGGTCTGACCGCGCCAGTCACCTGCTCTCTGTTCCGCCTTTTGCCCTCTTGAATACGCTTTGATAACTAGTTAAGGCGAAAGGGAGAAGAGAGTGCGGTAGATATGCTGTTAGTCTACTATTACTATAAACTAGATCACCTGCAAGTCGCTGGGTCTAATCTTGGTTTGCTGTGAAGCACACAATGGAAATCGTTGAACACGATGGTAGAACTACCGCAGACACGCAGGTGAAGGTAAACCATTATTCTGATCATAAGCTAATGGATTTTATTATTGTGTATCCTCATATTTCATTTCAATGTCCTTCCCCCTCCCCTTGGGCGTTTTTGGGCAAATCCGAAAATCCAGATGAGGCTCTCATTTTAAGTGGTTTCTCAGTCTCGTTGTTTGTCCATTCTAATTAATGAAATGCGGCCAGTTGCCGCTCCCATATTCCAAACGAGGTAAAATATCAACTTTGCAGCCATCAAGATGATCGTCCGCACCCGGTACAAGAAAACCTGAGAATTAATTGGTCTTTGGCCTCTGACTGGAAATCCCTTAACCAATGTCTTTACATAGCCTCAGAACAGAGAGCCGGTCACCGCCAGCTCGTATTTAGTGTCACTGGCAGTTTATCTTTTTTTTCCAATTTTACCAGTTGCTTGGTCTGTTCGGGTCGTTATCTCTTTAAATAGAATTGAGCACAATTTCCAATATTAACAATAATTTGCACACTCTTCCGCCACTTGATCAACCTTTTTTTTCTTGCAAATAATTTCGTCATTTTCGACATACTGGAACATGATACCGGCAGGTTTAATCCCATGCAAGAAAATCTTTTATCTGTGTCCCGTGCGAACTACTTCAGGTCTTCTGGAAAATCATTTAAAATATCTTTCGAAGCCATGCCTCTAATACACTGCCAGGCTAAAAGCTGAGCCCCTATGTCCGTTATGATAAGCTCGTCTCAAAAAACAACAAATAAATCCGGCGTTAGAAAATGTGTGTTATAAGTTTTGCAATTCTGAAAAAATGGATCACATTTTTAAATTGTCATTTTCAACCAATAGTTCTCTCTACAATCTTTTCACTCATTCATGTAAACTGAACCTATCATGGAAATGTTTTTCAAACTCGCTTTTTATCATTTCTCTAATTTAGGCCTATCATGAATACATATATTTAAATCGCACGTGGCCCTCGCCAAGAAAAGTATTTCCTGCAGCGTCCTACTCCGGAGTGCGATCATTCACCATTCAGTATAGTACTGACTGTGGAATAAATGAACTTAACAGAAGATAAGTTTTCCAGTAAGGTCATTTTAAATGATTTGTGACTGCATAAAATAACCTTTCCTCTTTTCGGATGACTGAAGACATCTATGGGAGTGGTGATCGTCAAAAGTCTTTACGCAAGATAAATCTCCCAAATTATAAAAAACTGTTTACGTCTTAATCTGACCGACGTAGCCAACCAAGCGTGGATTTAAAATCGTTTGATACTGGAGTTGAGAACGCGGCATAATAGGAAAAATCGCCTTGAGTTGATTTTGGATGAGTGATTCTAAGACAAAACAAGCTCGTTTATTCTCCCGTTTGCCTAAGTCCAAACGTTATTTCCATCTACAGGACTTCGGCACGACTGGTTAACAAAATGACGCGTTAATAGTTAGGCACCATTAGAGTCCTCTAGGTACCCGGTGGTTTTGATTTTTTCCACTTCTCTAGGTCATAGATATGAGCTGCGTTTTGTATTTAAATCACAACAGACTGGACAACTCGCCATAATCTGAAATGGATGCTCTTCTAGACATCATCATCCTCTCCACTAGAAATAATTGACTATTGCATCGTGCCTTGCGGTTGAAAAACTCTAAGCACACGCAAAGTATAAGCATATTCGATATATTCCCATTGAAGCCTTAATGCCTATTGGTGGTAACGGAATACGAACCAGTTGTGCACATGTAACCGGGGCGATAAATGAACAATTAATAACACAGCAGCGAGCAGCACTTCGTACTGAGGGGGAGATCGATTAATTGCCATAGGTATTCGGTAGCATAGCGACGGCGTACCACCAATAATGCAACGTCTGGCGCATGAATCACCCGTTTCTGTTACTGATTCTGAGCATGGGTTTTAAGTGAGAATCCGAAACGCCGGGTGAATAAAGAACTTGTTCCAGAGATCGCTACGAATTCTTAGCAAATATTTTTT